GGGGGGGGGGGGTCGTGTGCGCTACCTGGTGGGGGCTGCCTCAGCTCTCCCAACCAACAGTGCCTGGTGGGGCAGGGGGTTCGAGTCCCGGCCGCACCCGCCCCACCCGGAGCCCCGTGGCCGCGGGCCTGGGGGCGCTGCGCGGGTGCCGGAGCGTGGGTGGCTCGGCCCAAGCCGCTGCCTCAGTCTGCCCGGCACCACGGCGAATTAGAGGGCAGCGGCGCCGCGCACCTGCCACCCTCCGTGTGTGTGTAAGCTTGTGTAACTAGACGCTTGTGCCACACGCACCCCTCCAAAACTAGGTGGCAGGTTTGGTGCCTTCACCTTTGATAGTCAGACTGACCAGAGGGCAAGTGGGTGGCACGATCTGCGCAACCCGCTGGCACCTCTGCACATACCTGCCTACATAGACTTCAGCTCATAAAAGCTTAGTGTGTATGTATTTCTGTATATGCATGTGCACACATTTTTATGAGGCAAACTTTGTGTGTGGGTACAGCAGAAGCTCGTGTGTATGCAAGTCTGTAAAATGAAATTTGTTCTACGCGCGCGCGCGCGCGTGCCCGCCCATATATTTAGCACAGATTTCAACTCACAAAAGCTTGGTTTTTTGGGTTCGGTTTGATGTGTGTGGTTTGGTTTGGTTTGTTTTGGGTGGGGAGGGAGAGTGTCCATTTAACTAGCACAGCTAGTGCTGTCCTTTTGCCCACTGGCTGATGTAAGTATTAAAGGCTGTTAAGCCCCTAAACTGGATGGCTAATTTTGGAGATGCTGTGTGTACTTGCCTGTTTGCGTCTCATCTCTGCTTTTTTACTGAACAGCTTCTTCCCTATTTGCAATGCTGACGGGTCCCATCCATTTAGAGGATGGTCAGTTTGACATCTCTTAGTTTCTGTCCTTTTCTCTTTCTAGTTTCTTCCCTTGCTCCAAACTTAAAGCCAATACTGCTGCCCAGCACTGACAGCGTTTGGTATGGGCTACTGGGATTTCTGATTCCCTGCCCTTAAAGAAATGAGTGTCTGCCAAATGAGCTTGTAATAAACTGCCTATGCTACAGAAATGCACTTAAGTTATCTAGTATGTAAGGGCAAGCACCTTTACAGTCTTTCCAAAAACAATGCTGGTGTAGTTAAAAACAGCAAAACTTTCTAGAGTAGATGCATCTTGGTTGCAGACCTGCATCTGTGATTCATCATCAGGGATCCTAGTTTTCTTTGATCAATAAAAATTCCCCAATTTTCAGATTTAAAAAAAGTAACCCAAAATCATTTTTCTATGATTAAAATGAAACGCCACTAATATATAGTGTATAGTATACTATACTATACTATAGTAATGTATAGTGATGTTTCATTTTGATCACAGAAAAATGTGGATTTTGGTTTACTTTTTTTAATCCCAAAATTAGGGATTTTTTTTATAGGCGAAAACCAGGATCCCTGCTCATCAAGTAGAAAAGCACTAGAAATGTTTGAAAACACATTTCCCCTGTCCTGCCATGCTGGAGTAGAAAGCACCCAGGAAATATGGGTGCTTGCCTTAGGAATGTAAAAAGAGGTGTAATTTTAACCATGTATTAAGTTCCTAGATCCCAGATCCTGTCACCTTTGAATGCTATTCCATTGCAACTGATGTATCCCTTATATATATTTTTTTGAAGGTACTGGTTGAACACTGCAGGTTCATTAGGTTAGTGAAATGATGTTTTGAGGCTTGCTTGATCAATGTTGATGAAACATCTATTTGCTCTCAGTCCTAATTCATTTTCAGGGGTAGGTGACCTTAAATTTCAGAGCATTGCAGCTTTCCCTTTGAATATTTTGATATACGTCATTCATATATCAGCATATATTGGTGCCACCATACCATGTTATCTCTTGTGGAGCTGAAATGCCGGTACTTTCTAGCTATGAGCAAGCCTGTTTTCCCTGAAGTCTAGATGTTTTGGTTGTATACAGCTTGACACTTTTGACAAGAGGTGGGATGCAATTTTTCCTGCCCCTTTGAAGTGCTTGTGTTGTTAAAATGATGTATGGTGAGGGAGTTGTGCTTGTGTTTTCTTGTTGGTGGGTTGTTTTTTATTTTTGAAAGCCTTATTCTTTCAATAAAATCTGCAACAACTAGATGTCCAGCCACAGGTTTCCCAGTGTAGAGCCTTAAAATACTTAGTAAAGTGAAGCTTTTGTGTAATCACTGAGATTATTTATCCGGGGGTGATTATAAATCCGGGGGTGATTATTTAGCTGGATTTTGAGATTATTTGTCCGGGGGTGAATCCAGTCAGATTCAGACAAAAGCTGTTGTCTGAATCTGACTGGAGACTTGCCCTCCACAGTTCAATGTAGACAAGAATAAGTAGTTGCTGCTTAAGTATGAAAATTGTACAAGGAAGATAATTGTGGAACTGATTCAAGGGAATACTTCCTGTCTGAAAAATGAAGCAGAAGCCCACTTTACATTTTTAGTGAGCAACCATATAGCTTCTTCATATGTTAATAAATGATACAGTAAAGCTTTAATGTAAGGCCTGGGAAGATCGTGTGAGGTATATACATCATAGGATGTGATGTATGAGAATTTTGAGTGTCTAAAGAATTTAATTCCTTAGTCAAATGGCTATTAAAGATGCATAAGTATTTCTAAATTAGCCGTGGCTTTTTTTGTTCTTATTTAGTGTGTTTGAATATACAGTTGAAAGAGACTAAGGCGTGGTGTTTGTTCCTTCTCTAAGGGCTGTTGTATGCACCAAATCTGAGACAGATTGTACACAAAACTGAAGTGGAAGGTATATATGTACACTTTCTCCATGGGTGGAGATTACAATGGTTTGCCAGACAGATGAGGAGAAATTTGTGAACTCTCATTTGATAACAAAAATGGGGAAACTGATAAATGGATGCTACTCTCACTTCTTGTTAAATTTCTTTTTCTAGGTTACAGAAGGAAGGATTTTGATGATGTGACAATTAGGAAGTCATGTCGACGCTGTGTCCACCACCCTCTCCTGCAGTTGCAAAGACAGAGATCTCACTGACTGGAGAGTCACCACTACTAGCTGCTACTTTTGCTTACTGGGACAATATTCTTGGCCCTAGAGTACGACACATCTGGGCCCCAAAAACGGAACAGGTGCTTCTCAGTGATGGGGAAATAACTTTCCTTGCAAACCACACGCTTAATGGGGAAATACTTCGGAATGCAGAGAGTGGTGCAATAGATGTGAAGTTTTTTGTCTTGGCAGAAAAAGGAGTAATTATTGTTTCATTAATCTTTGACGGGAACTGGAATGGGGACAGAAGTACCTATGGACTATCGATCATACTGCCACAAACTGAACTTAGCTTCTACCTTCCTCTTCACAGAGTGTGTGTAGATAGATTAACACACATTATAAGGAAAGGAAGGATATGGATGCATAAGGTAGGTCTATTCTTCATTAAACCAAAAATATGCAAAGGGCTTTAACTTTTTATATGGAAGGCATATTTTACAAAAGTAAAACTTAGGAGGCATATAGTATTGTTTGTGATGTTATCTAGAAAATTCCATATAGAAAAAATTCTTCACCTCTACGCTAAACAAACCTTTATCCTGCCAATGTGCCTTTGAAATTACTGGGAGTTGTACGTCCTCAGCATCGCTCAGAAAGTTGCTTTGTGTCTGATTCCAAAACAGGAAAAACTGTGACTGAACCTTTATACAGAGCATCTTAATGTGCCGTGCACATTAAACCCATGTCTATACGCAAATTGGCAAGAAAATGTGAACTTCTGGGGATAAAGCATTGTCTAAAACTAACTGGAGAACCTAGGAAATGCAGAATCATAGTTTCAAACTAAAAGCAAGAAGCGGAGAGAAAAGTTCTCGTTTTAGTCCAAATGTCTTCTGCCTTTGATATTCCAAATGAGTTTTCTTAATCAGATTGTGTTCAGCAGCGGCTGGCCTCATCTCTGAGTCCACTTCAGAAGTTTCTCTACAGACTGAACATTTTAAAAATAAAATGCAGTCTCATTTTACAGTAAAAGCTGTTTTAGAGTAGGTTCGATTAAAGTATGCTTGGTGCTTTGTAGCTAGTAAGTATCTTGTAATTTTGTTGTCAGAAGTTGCCAAGCAGCAGTTTGAGGTGAGGAAGTTCTAGTTCGTCTTGCACACTAAATATTCTTTTATAAAGCTAAAATTCTATCCTTAGGATATAAATGGAAATGACAAGGTGTTTTTGTTTTTTACATTAACACAAATTTCATAGTAACTACACGGTAAATTTACTGATGTGTCACATTTTGATACTTTAGTCATTCTGTTTCAAAGGAGAATCTAATCATTTGCAGTCTTGTAATTTTCCAGTATAGTATAAACATAAATTTCATGCCTACTCTTATCTTCCAAAACTCAAGTGACTTGCTTAGCAGTTTATTATTTAATAACCATCAGTTAGCAGGTTCTTGTGCTTTTGGACAAGTACTTTCCTTGTTACATACTGATGGCTATCTCTTGCTTCAGTCTTCTGACATTTGAGGCAAAACAATCAAACTCAAGATGAAATACGATTCTCTAGAATCAGTAAAACTTATTCCTTACCTCCTTCCATGTCAAAGTTTCTTTTCAGAAGCAGTTGTCAGTCCCTAAACCTACATTCATGAAGTCTCTTTATTTTGTGGAACAGAGAAGCTGCTTGGCTCAGCAATAATCCTGAAAGAGAAGTGGCTATCATAGTGGTCCTGAAAGTAGTCAGGAATACTTATGAACACATCTTATCTCTTCCATTTCACTCTTGCCTGGAAAATGAAGAGCTGAGTGAAAAAGTGCTCTAAAATATAGATTAATAAACATAAATTGCTATATTTGTATTTACTTGTTTCTCAGAAAACTGTCCAGTTAAAAAGTTTAATCTGGCCAAATACTATGATTCTTAAAATAAAAGCTGCTGGAGCAACCCAATGTACATAAGAAGAATGTCTTGCCTCCTTATTCTACAGGAGGCCGTTGGAATTGTAATGGATAATCATGCCTTCCTGTTCCAACTGTGGTTGAATCGTTGACCATCCAACTTTCCTTAGAGGAGAAACTTGGTACAGATTAGAAATAATATCCTGAACTGGCATATTCACTTGAGGTTTTGGATAAATCTCTAAAACAGTGGGTAGAATGATGGATATAAACAAGCAACTACCTTAGAAGCTATTCAGAATGGAATTTGGCTTTATATTATAAAGTTAGTTGTTGAAGGTGTTATGTTTGTGAAATATCAGCTATCTCTCTACAAGAGATGTGCACAGTGCTTTGTTCAACTTCAACTGCATTCTCATTGAAACCGAAGTCAAGGATGGAAGTGCCTTAAAGAGATCAGTGTGGCACCAGTGTTGTTCTTCCACAAGCACTTGTTTCAGGTTCAATGAAGTAAGTTTTATTGCTGCCTGGAAGGGAAATCCTGCTGCACTCAGCTCATTCTTTATTTGTAAGTTGTAAGGAGTTGCCTGTTTTTTCTATTCCCATTGCAGTTGGTCAGCCTCAAGTAGCTCACTAATAAGAGACTAATGAGTAAACCTGCTAAAGACGTGGCAACTCTTCAGTTTCTGTAAGACAATATCTTTGGATCTTGTAGAATCTTTGCCTGGGATAGCATATTGACTGATGCTACAATTCATTAGGGCCAAGGTTACATACCAGATGGCGTGACATATTGTTGTAATAAGCTACGTTTTGATTATGTTCTCTTCTAAACTTCTGATTACTTGAAGCCATGGGATTCCCACTGAGCCAGTAACGTGACCTCCTGTGTATTCTGTGATGCAGTAACGTGAACCTTGCATGGAGATCTTCAGTGCATAGTTTTAGAAAAGTTGAGATGCTTTGAAGACTTCTTTTTCTCTCAGCGTCTCTAACGTGAGAATACATCCTTTTGTAAAAAGTAAATAGGCTTCTTCCAAAAGATCTGTGCTGCCATGTGATGGGACAGATCAAACTATTCCTTTTTCAACTAAAAGTTGAAAATCATCATGGCTGAATTTTACATCTTTTTTCATTTTTCTTTTTCAATTTGGGAGCAAAGGATTTTTTTGGTCTTATTTACACCTACCTCCAAACAAGTTAAAGATTTATTAATGGGCAGGCAGGGAGCTTTTATATAGTATAAAATGGCTTCTCTTGTCACTACTGTGAACTCTGTAAAGGGAAAAAGTCCTGAACATCAAAATGTGAATCAAAGAAGCATGACTCTACAGGGAAGAAAGTTTTACCAGTTGATACTTGCGTGCATATGTGTGTAGACGTACCAAGGCTTTTATAATTTTTCTGAAAAGTAACTGCTTCTCTTGCTCAGGAGAGGCAAGAAGGTTTCCAGAAGATTGTCTTGGAAGGCACAGAGAGAATGGAGGATCAGGTAAGAGCGACTGATTGCATACAGCACACCGTCAAAAAGCTATTTTATTGGAACCATTGATTCTAGAAGTTGGTGCTGCTGCTTATTTTTGAGATCCAGAAAGATGCCTTGGACTGGCTGAGTGGCCTGCAGTGCACAGGAGGCAATCTTTGTGAAGATATGATGATGGAAACTATGAACATATTGAAGGAAAATATCTCCCATCACGTTATGGGTAAAGTGAAAAATCTATGAAGAATATTACCTTTCAGATAAGGGAAACCACTTATTTGTACTTGAAAATCTCTAAAGTTGACAGCTTCTATAGATTTATACATTCTTCTTGTCAAAGGTAGGTTTTTCCTAGGTCATTAACCTTTGAGGATACAAAGCTGATGCTTGGAGTCCTTCCTGTTGAAACAGAGATGTGGTTGTAGACTGCAGGTATGAGATAAAGGGACTTCCTCAATCTGAAAATGTGACCCTAGTTCTTTGTAAAGGAAAGATTGCAGAAATCACTTTGCATGTAATTATTGAATGAAAATATATTTGTCTGATTCTCTAGAACATCTAAATTTGGGATTGTAAAACTTGCCAATAACTGCATTTGTGGTACACTGTGGTAAAATGATTAAATTGTGTGTGTCTTGTCTGAGCCAATCAAACTTCATTCAGAAGATTAGCATAACAGTTTATAACGAGCGGGCAAAATACGGCCCGCAGGCTGCATCCAACCCACCAGGCACTTTCATCCAGCCCATGGGCACCCACCAGCGAATTGTATCCAGCCCAGCCCTTCCTCCCACAATAGTGGGATTGAGGCACCCACGTATACACGCACCTCTCAACATACCCTGTTGTGCCTTGCTCCCACCCTCATGGGCAGAAGGGCCTGGCTTGGCCAGCATGCAGCCACCCCAGGGGACCTGCTCAGTTCCCCTGGCATCCCCCTTGCTGTGGACACCAGCTAAAAAAGCGATGCAGGGGGGAGCAGACTACAGCTGGGTGGGGGCAGGGAGTGTGGAGCCTCTGCCCAGGGGGGTGGCGGGAGCATGGAGCTCAGCTGGTCAGGGTGTGGGTATGAGGGGGAGGGGACTGTCTGCACACTTCCCCCTCCTCCCCACCCCCCATGGCACTAGGCCCTGCTGCCAGCAGTAGACAAGGGCACTTGGGATACTCGTGCCCCATGCAGGCTCTGATGCCTTGTGGCTTGTGGCTCTGGCCAGAGCTGTGCATGGGAGTGAGGAGCGCAGCCTCCCTGGTCCGCCCCTATCACAGGGGCTCTGCATGGCGTGACTGCAAGTCCCATGCTCACGTGGCACTGGGGGAAGTCCTATGCGGGAGCCAGCTGCCTTCCTCACCCCATGCTGTGCAGGTCCCGGGACTCCACAGGGAAGCAGGGGCCAGGGCTCCCCTCTATTTCTGGCAGAGTCCCGGGATCTGCACAGCAGAAGGCAGCCAACTCCAGCGCTGGGCTTCCCCCAGTGCTGCATGAGTGCAGGAGCTGCAGGCTCACTGCATGGAGCCCCCACAATAGAGGTGGGCCAAGCAGGCTGCGCTCCTCTCCCCCACCCGCAGCACTGTCCGGAGCTATGTATCACCAGGTGTGAGCACATGTATGGGGCATGAGTGCCCCCACCTGCTGCTGCCAGCAGTGAGGGCTGAGCACCACCCCCTCTCTTTGCACAAACCTCACACGCTTACACCCTGCCCCCCCACACACACAGCCACAGCCCCTCACAAACCCCCACACACCCATCCCCCACAGCCCTCCATACATGCACACACTCCCCCAACACCCACACCCACACAATATATATAAAGGTAAGACTTTCTTTTTGAGTTATTATACAGTTCTATATACAGTATGTAAGCACAAATCATGACATATTTTTTGTAATAAAATTAAAATAATGTTATGGTAGGTGTTTAACTTTTAGTGCATGATTTGTTTTTTTTTCTGGTTCCAAAATGGCAACCCTCCATTCCCAAAAGCAGTATTTCTAGGGGGCAAGAAGAGGGACTTCTGGTGGCAAATGTCAGGGGTTAGGCAGGACTTCTTGTCCCAATATGGTGACCAGGGTGGGGCTTCCCATGTGGTGCTCCACAGGTCACCAAAACTCATTAAGAGGCCCTCCAGCCAAAATAATTGCCCACCACTGGTTTATAATCAGCTGTTTGCTTTTGTTTGGCTAGTGTTGAACATATGTATCATTTGCCTTCCCCAAAACAGAAAAGTAAACTTATGTGGCTTGTTGGTGTTCCACTGTTGCTAGTAGCTTTCTATCTTGCATGCTATGCTTTTACTTCACAACACTTTATTTATTGCCCAGGGCCAGAGCATCATTCCAATGCTGACAGGAGAAGTTATTCCTGTAATGGAACTCCTTTCATCTATGAAATCACATAGTGTTCCAGAAGAAATAGATGTAAGTTCTTATGTTAGCTGCATTTTGAAAAGGAAGCACCTCTGCCCTTCCTATTTAGTGTTGCTTGTGGTAAAATAAATCATTGTTCCGAGAAATCATTATCCATTTTGAGTGTTTGGTGCAAGAAAGCTCTCCTAAGTGGTATTTTTGGTAATAGTTTATACCCCATGAATTAGTATTAGCAGCAATTTTGATCAGCAGTCTAGGTAAATTGGTTGTTGAATGGTGGTATTCTTTTTACGAAGGGAGAGGAAAGAATATTCCACTGGCACTAATATTGCAGCAAAGGAGTAGATGTTAATACTGAGATCCACTAGAACGTGGGGCAGTGTTCCTAAGGAAACAGCTTCACTGGGGCCGGTATGAAATATTCTGGACAGCGCACTAGGAAAATGCTGTGTTGAAAACAGTCTACCTTTTTAAGTGGAGGAGGAATAGAGTAATGGTATAACTGCTCCTCTCTTGGTGTCTGGCCTCATTCAGAAATGTAAGACTGGTTTTTGTGATTTATAACATACTCAATTCTTAAAATTTCCAAAATAAATGGCTCAGGATCTTCTTGGGTTATCCCCAAATACTTTTAGAAATAGGAAATGATATATTTTCTGGTGTATTGCATATCCTCATCTAAACTTTTTCTTTTCATTCTCTTGCATTCTAGATAAATGACACTGTCTTAAGTGATGATGACATTGGGGACAGTTGCCATGAAGGCTTTCTTCTAAAGTATGGTCTTGTTCTTTCTTTTGTGCCATTGTGAAGTAGTTGATGCTAGTATCTCTTCAGTTGGTTGCCTGGATTCATGGTTAAGGGTTAGTTTTGGGGAAAAATAAAAAAAAAAACCTGCTAGTACTGATTATAGCTTCTTCATATGTTTATCTGTAAGATACTGCAAAAATTGTTTCCTTTTTAAATGAATAGTCAGGGACGGATAAATCTTAAAACAGTTTAGTGAAATATAACTTTATCATCACTGAAATAATTGGATTAGATAAATTGAAAGGAATTATATGACTTTGAAAATGGTTTTAAAAAGGATATGAGGAATAAAAAACAAAATTGTGGGTTATTTGGTACCTGAAAGGGGTGGGGGGGATAGGTTATTGTAGAAATGGTGGCTAATAGTATCTACATTTATTTTAATGCAAGTCTGAAAAATATAAGTTTTCATTTTTGTACATAAACAAAAACAGTTTACTAGAGCAGTAAATTAGTGCATGAGCATTATTAAGTCAATACATGTTTAACACTTCCATACTTAAGAAACTTTTTAATAGACCATCTTCTTCCTCAAAACCTCTCCATCAATAATCACCTGGCTTAGATAATACCTACTTCAAAGAGGTAGCAATGTGTTGGTTTTTTTTATGCAGCATCAATATTCTCACAGTACCACCATAGAAATCCAGATGCTGAAGTTGTTAACATCCCCTTTTAAAGCATTCTGCAGATTTTTCCTAGGTTTTGAACCCTGTGAGATTATTGAACTTTTAGAAATATTTGAAGTAATATCGCTAGATGGCTAACTGGAGGGGAATCCAACTAAGAAACGGCAGGAGTAATTGTTCCTGTGACAATGCAGCATTCTGTTACTGCTCTTTTAAAACGTAATTGTCATACGTAAATGTCTGGTTCTCATTAAGACATTGGTACCAAGATTGAGTGTTGTTTACCCTTTTACAATGTGCCTGTGCAATAATAAAACTGATTCCATGAACAAAGCTGGCAGAGCCACAAGGTGCATAAGGTTGAGCATTCTACTTTGTGCTATTCACAGTAGTATGTTTGAGGAGTAAAGGAGACTTCTGGTTTTTGCAGTTTTAAAATATCCATATTGGCATGCTCTTATCTTAATTTTTATGCAACAAAAAATAAAAATTTAAGGGCCCGTTAAAAAAAACAAACAAAAACTCTGACCACTTCAGATGTGTGGTTATGTATTCCTTTTGGAACAGGCAAAATACAGCCTGCAGACATGTTTTTTCACAGGTAGAGAACTCCTTAGTGTTCACATACTCTCTTGGATCCTAGTTTCTTTTGCAGTGAGATATAATAGCTTGTGCAAAGTCCACTGTGGGATTACGGTTCTGTTGTATTTTACTTACTTAATTTACTATGCCCAGACCTGACTATGTGATTAGACTCCTTTTACACATGAGAGTGGTTTAAACACGCTACAATACATGTTCTTCATGTTAAAAATAAATGATTTTTTACTTTGGCTTATCCTTGAGAATTGAGGAAAATCTGACTAACTGTAGGGTGTGTAAAAGCAATGTCCTTACCTAAAAGTCCTTAAGAACAGGTCATCCGAACACTGAGAGAGAGTCTCTGTGGGTGTTTTTACATGTGCTCCAGGGATGTGGGGGAGCACTTTAATTAGAGCAGCTTCAAGAGCTGCCATAATTAAAGTGTCTGAAGCATCTCGTGTGTCAGTGCCCCACACTTCAAAACAGTGGCTGGGGCACTTTATCTAAAGCTCATCGAACAAGTTTTAGTTAAAGTACCCCCACCACCATTTTGAAGCGTGGGGGTGCTGATACACGAGACGCAGAGGCTGGCTGGAGCATACTAATTAGCACACTCCAGCAGGTTTGATTAATTGAGTCATTGAGTCTGCTCCAACACACTGTAATTACAGTGCGTCGGAGTAGCCTCCCAGTACTCATACAGGCACCCTGCATTCTTAATCCTGCCAGTAAGTAAATTGATGAATTAAATGATCTCTTGAGGTACATTTCAGCCTATGTTTCTGTGATTCTGAATGAATGATCTTATACTTTAGCTTTTGAAGACATAACTGAGTTAAATGCTATAGTAACTTAAAATATTATATCTTAAGTTTGCCTAAGTTTGGAGAATCTTGTTTTAGTTCCAAAATGCATTTGGGTTTTGGTAAAGGTAAGTCTGGCTCTTGATTTTATTTATCTATTTATTTAAAAGCATGTTTTTAGAAGATGAAGGATTTGCTGGAGAGTGGTCTGTTATGTATTAATCTGTATTTTGCTTAATTTGCAGTGCCATCAGTTCACACCTACAGACTTGTGGTTGCTCTGTAGTTGTAGGTAGCAGTGCAGAGAAAGTTAATAAGGTAAATGCACTTTGTGATTCACTGGGTTGGATGGTGATTATTAGCACATTTGCAGCAATGTAGAAGTGGCAGGTAATGGGAAAAATATTTTTTCAGTAAAATTTTAAATTGCCTATAAATGCATTTGGCATTGTGTGGATGGCAACACTGTATTGCTGTCAGTCTTGAATTGGATGCACTAGTAATTGATGACATAGTTTGAAAAAGGGCTTATCAGTCATGTTCTGATGACTTTTAGCAACCAGTTTCATTTTGCTGACCCAGTGTAAAAGCTGAGGCCAGTACACAAGGGTAAGATTTAAGAATTAGATTTAAATTGTCCATAATGTGTAAACTCATGAGATCTAGATTGACTTATTTTTTTTACCAGTTACCTGTGGAAATGAATACTAAACAAACAAAATTCTGTATAACTTTATTGTGCTGAATAGTTGCCTGCGAAGGCAACTGTTCCACTATGAATTGCTTCTGCACGGTATGTTTCAAGTCATCAAAACATCCAGGGCCACTTGTATATTAAAAAATGTATGCTTGCTAGGGCAGTGATTCTCAACCAGGACGATGTGACTCCCTGGGGTGAGATGCTTTTCAGGGTACTGGGAACACTGTTAGGTATTCAAACACCTACACAGTTCATAAAATAAACCCAGCAATTTCAAATTAGGAATCCATTGTGCCAAAAGCCTTCTGACCTGTTGTGGTCTTTCAGAGTTCTTTGTGACAGAATTGCTGTATGTATCTGTATTCAAGAAATGACTACAAGTTAAGACCTAGTATTTTCTGAGTGGTGTCATAAGTCTAACAAGGGGCGTCTTGAACCTAAGAAGGTTGAGAACCATTGTGCCTAGCGCTTATATATTACCCATAGGATTTCCATGAGAGCATTTGGTGCATTGGATCAGATATATCATATTTTGAGAAATGCGAATGTAGGATCCATGCATTCTGATCCTTTTTCCTCATAGTTTTAGCCATAAGTAATACAATTAAATGAAAGAAATATCTTAATTCTCTAGACGTTCAGTTCATATTTGAGTTTTCATTGGCGACATGGGAGATGCAACGTGCCAGTCCAGACTTAAAATGTGTGCTCGTCTACAATGGATAGCTTGCTGTTGAAATATACATTTGCTAGACCAGGGGTGGGCAAAATACAGTCTGCAAATCAGATCCACCCACCAAGGGATTCTATCCATCCCACAGTAAGTCCCCCTGCCCTCTCCAGCCCAGACATGAGGGCCAGCCCGGGCCATGGCATGCAAAGTCAGTTCCACTGTCCTTAGGCTCATGGCAGGGTGGGGGCAGCGTGGCAGCCACACTCAGCTTCCCAGCAGCCCCTGCCATGGCAGCTCCTTCCAGTTGCTGCTGCTACTCTACAACACTATACCTAGCCCTGCTGCCTGGGCACTCCAGCCTGTCCACGCCACACCCACTGCTGGCATGCCAGATGGGGTGGGCAGGCAGGCAGGGTCTCCATGGAGACTGGCCTGAGTCCCCCACAAGCCAGGCAGATGTGATAGGGCTGTGGGCGGGCAGGGAGTGGCATCCAGGAGCAGGCAGGAACTGGGGCTGTGACAACATGGGGCTGGGGCCAGGGGCAGAACTACAATCTATTCCCCACACATCCCTACAAAGAGCACTGGTTCTGTGGACAGAGATGTGTGGGGAGTGGATTGTGGCTCTGCCCTGAGCCTTGGCCTTGCGCTGTCACCACTCCATGATCCTGGCACCACTCCTTTCCTGTGGCCCCATCCCGTCTGCCTAGCCAAGCATGCCCTGTCTGGGGGAGGATCCCAGGCCGGTCTCCATGGAGGCCCAGCCTGCTCTATCTGGCACTCTTGGGAGTGGGTGAGGAGCGGACTGGTCCAGGGCCAGATAGGATCATTCCCCACCTCCAGCCACGCTGGGCTGGGTCAGCACCCCATTTCTCCTCCCTCCCTCCCCCCAGGGGCCCACAACAGCTCACCAAAACTCCTTAAGTGGCCCTCCAGCCCAAATACTTGCCCATCTCTTTACTAGACTCTTTGGAACCATCACCCTTCAAAAGGGCACTTCCTGTCTTCTGTCCATACTCCAAAGATGGAGAGTACTGGCCAGATGCCTTAATGAAGAAGGACTAGGCTTAAAGGCCAGGAATATCAGGATAGTGTTATATTTTTTTGTCTCTGGAAGCTGCATTCTCAGGTGCTGTGCTCTCACCCAGAATTGATTGATTGATTAAACTCTAATGGGAGACAACCTTCTCCATTTCACATAAGTCTTTTTCACAAAGATGAGATGATTTTGAAACCCTGTTTTAAACCTTTTTCCTAAACTAACAACAGATTTTTCACTTGAATAAGAATGGTGCTTTTGTCTACTTCTTCCCTGAGTTCCCTGACTTGGCAGGCAACTATGGAGCTTGAATCCATACAAAAGTTATTTGAGAAAAATGAGGGATAAACCTGCCTAGTTGTTGTGGGGAAGAAACCAAATGGGGGAAGTTCTTTTTTACTTAGACTCTTTCAAAGTGATAAGTAAATATCCAGAAATGCTAGTTTCATGAGTTGGAAGTGTGTTTTGCACAAAGTGTGCCTCCCCCTATTGCCTCTATTGAAATATGTCTATTAAAACTTACTGATTTCTGGCAGGAGTTGAATCTATATTTCAGTATGTCTTTAATAGACAGACAAGATGCTTGTTTAAGTAGGTCTCCAATTTATTCCTGTTAAAGCTATTTGTCAATTCAATTCCCCATCTGCAGTTGAGGTCTGCAGAAAGAAATAATGATAGAGAAACAAGGTTTTCTTCACTGGTGAATCCAATTCATGTGGACAGTTCCTTCTCTAGATCCACAGAGTCTGTATTCCACATGTGTCCTCTAACTGACTCATTTGATTCAAAGGACAGAACAGGCTTCTATAGTAACATCTGGTCTTGAAAGTGTTGGAGTGATGATGTACCCCAGTTAGTCAAGGAATTGAGGGGCAAGGATTTTTGTGTGTGATATCTTTATCCCAACCATTCAGTTGGTCCAGTAAAAGTTAAACATGCTTTTGAATGCGAGGCATTCTTCATCGGGTCTGAGGAAAGAAGATGGCACAGTGATGATTAAAAACAATGTGTATAACTTTGAAATTGGAAGAGAGAGATTCCCAGGAGTAGCAGACAATTAAGCAAAGAAAAGAAACTTGATTAATGAGAGGTTAGGAACCTTTCAAAAGGGAAGAGGGTGGTTATTACCTGCAGTACAAAGAGAGAATTTCAGGAATCAGATAAAGTATAGTGTGCTATGAAGTAAATATCAATGTTTAGTCCTGGGTTCTTCATATCCAGCCAGCATATGGATTTTTGCTCCCAAGCCCACCTTTTAAGGTGTTTTTTAAATTTCCCTTGAGCACAATGATAGTGAGGTCAGAAAGGATGTGGTGGTTCTATGAAAAACGGGCTCCTACCACCACTTGTATGTCCCAGTCCTTTATATTTTTTTCATAGTTCATTCCAGTGCATAGCTTCCATGTAGTTTCACCCATGTAGTTTACTATGAGGCCATTTGGTGCATTGGATCAGATGTATCACATTTTGAGAAATGCAAGTGTAGGATCCATGGATTTTGTTGGATTCATTATGGGAGGTGTTGATTGTTAAAGCAGTGGAGATGTGTTGACATCTATTGTTAAGACAAGGTTGTGTCGCAGTACAGTCCTGGATGGAGAATCGTAGAAAATTAGGGCTGGAAGGGACCTCAGGAGGGCATCCTTTTGTAATGGGGGGCCCAAAACTAAACAGAGTACTCCAGATGTGGCCTCACCAGTCCTGGATATTGGGGAATAATCACTTCCCTTGACCTACTGACAACACACCTACCAATGCAGCCCAGTATGCCATTAGCTTTCTTGGCAGGAAGGACACACTGCTGGCTCATTCAGCTTATTGTCCAGTGTAATCCCCAGGTCCTTTTCTACAGAGTTGCTGCCCAGCAACTCAGCCCTCAGCCTGTACTGGTGCTTGGGATTGTTCCACTGTGAATCCTAGCCCTATCCTCCAGCATACCTGCTATCCCTCCCCCCCACCCCAGCACAGCTTGGTGTCATCTGCAGACTTGCTGAGGGTGTACTCTATGCTATCTTCCAGGGCGTTG